TATTATTGATTGTTTGCTTTTTTGTTTTTATTAATAATGATTCCAATATTTGCAGCCATTTTTTGCATGTAGATGATGCTATTATATTTGCGTTGTCAACAAGTATGTTACGAATAGGGTCCGGTAGGTCTCCATCAATATTAAAATAAGGTCTAATTGAGCTATGGTCAGAAAGGTGTAGAGTGAGTCTTCGTGTCAAACATGTTGTAGTATGGACTATATATTTATTTACGAATTGATCAGAATAAAATTCATTAATGGGCATTTAAATTCGTAAATAATATTTGCCCTATTCAATTTTGTTCTAAGAGGTTAATTATTATTTTTAACTATGAATGTTTTTAAAATAAATAATTAATCAATTTTTTTTGCTGTTTTCAACTGGTGTTGTACATTTTTTTTTAATGTACTTACTTCTACTTTCGTCTTGTTTATAATTTTTGTTAATTTGATTTTTATAAAAAAAATTAATGTTATTTTTTATGTGTCTATTTTCGTCGTTGCTGTTAGCTATATTAGACAGAAAACGGAAAGGCAACAATTGATTAGAAAATCCGTTATTAATAAATACGTTGTTTAATTCTTGAAAGAAAAGCGCGCGAGAGGATGAATTCTCGTGCGCACTCGTGAGGAAATTTTTAATAACATCTAAGAGGGCATTCACTAGAGAAATTAAGATAGAAAGAGTCTTTATTAGTTGTTTTTTTTATAAACGGAAGTTGTAAAAATATTATTACTAAAATCGACGAGAACATCTAAGAAAGGGAGTTTATTGTTTACACTAAGTTCATAAATAAAATTTAGGACGAAATTTTGTTGAAATGTAGCTATCAGATATTCTATTTCTTTCTTGTTTTCAGCTAAAATAAGTACATCGTCTACATGACGAACATATATTTCAGGTTTAATAACTTTAGTAAAAAACTTGTTTTTTCAACATAAGAAATATAATAATTGAAGAAGCACGGCCTGAAAGGGATTTCATACTTACTCCATCAGTTTGTGCGTAAATAGTACCATTCTGGCTATAAAAGGCACTATATATATATATATATATATATATATATATATATATATATATATATATATATATATATATATATGCATACACACACACACACATATATATATATACATATTTATTTATATATATACATATATATATGTACATATAATATCTACATATACATATATAGATATATGTAGTAGTAGTGGTAGTAGCTGTCGACTCACAAATCGAGTCTGCCCATCACTGATATGTCCATTCCATCAGTTATAGTCTCCTCTACAACACTGCATTCATTTGTTATGTGAACGATAGTGGCTCATAAAGCCAACCATCGGTCTGCATTTCTTGTTACATATATGGTATGTCAAATCATCTCCGGTTGGTCAAGTTGACGTTGAACATCATCATTTTCACTGTGTCTCTTTACATGCCTTGTCAGGCCCGACCTAAACTTACACACTCTAGTGCAGCGCCGGCATTCAAAGCATGCCATGACGAAATCGTTACATGCAATAGACTGTTGTTTTTGGTGTGATTTCTGGTGACTGGTCAGACCTGTCCTGGACAGATATATCCGATTGCATTGGGCACATGGCCAGGTTGGCACCTCTTGGCAATTCAGGGGTTCCTTCCGAAACCCTCTCCTCAGTTCTGCATATTTTTGATGCCCCATGGAAGATCTTGGTGCCATCAGCAGTGCCGGTCTTTAGCTGGAGTCGCCCAGTTATCTAGACCAATATTGCACTTGTATAGTGACTCTTTAAGGCAATATTGATAACGCTTGTGTTGCGGTCTTTTTTTCCCATTTCCAATTCTCCGTACATTAATTGTTTTAAATTCTTTGATATGCCATAAAATAACATGGCCTGTCCATCGCAATCTGTATTTATGTATAATTGCTTCCACAAAGAGTGAATTGTTCTTTTGTAGAACAACAACATCAGGGCCTTACATGACCCTGATAGTCGATCCATGAATTCCTGTCCATGCTGAATTGTGTGTGCGACCAGTCATCAGCATAGTCACAATTGCTCACTAAACTAAATTAAAGACTTTTTTTTTGCTGCAAACCTATGTGTGTTGAAAAGCTTGCCAGTTGACCTGTACCTTATTATTATACCATCATGGCAGTCCCCGAACGCATCAAGCAGTACAATTGCAAAGTAGATAGAAAACAGTTTAGGAGCTAGAAAATCTCCCTGCTTGACTCCATATTAAACCTTGATGGGCCCTGTAAGTATACCGCCAAAATTGACGCAGGCTTACATACCGTCCTGAAAAGACCTCAGAATCTTGAGAAAGTGGGGAGAGGACAGCCCAAATTTTAAGAGGATTTTCCAAAGAGAAGCCCGATTAACAGTGTCGAAAGCTTTACTCACATCTACAAATATTTGATAATGGTCCTATTGTTGCTCACGGCACTTTTCTTAGATTTGTCGTGCTGTGAAAATCATATCTGAGTTCCCTCTCTATTGGCGGAAACCATACTATTTTCTGGTTTAATTTTATAAGAGAACAGAGGCTAAGATCTTACCTACCGATGAAAGGAAAGCAGTCCCTCTATAATTGCCACATAATTCCCAGGAACCTTTACCCTTATATATAGGTATCATTGTTGCATCCTTCCAATATTTTAGCACTTTTCCATCTATCCAAATCTTTACAATAAGATCATGCATAAGTTGACTTAAATATTTCAGCAGGAAGGTCGTCAATCACAACAGCTCTGCCCATGTTGCAATTCCACGCAGAACCTCGCACAACGATGGTTGACTGTTAAGTTCTACCACTATGGGTCTTTGGGGGTTATTTCTCGAGAACCTCAGAGTCCACATTTGAAGGCTTATTCAGTAGCCCATCAAATTGTTTCTTCCATTTCTTGGCCATGCCATCCATGTCTGTGAGTAGATTATTGGCGTCCTTTGTCCTATGGGGAGCAATCTTGGTGGATCTGGGAACAAATAATTGTCTCATCAAGTATTACCTCATCAAGTATTATATATATATATATATATATATATATATAGTGATTATCAATTCTTGATATTTGAAGACCATCTCCATTTCTTTTGTTTTTTTGCTATATAACTTTCAGACTCACCGATCATGAGAGCGCAAATGACTCCAACATATATACATATATGTATATATGTATATCTATATATATGAATATGTATATGCAACCTAACCTGAACAAAATAAACTATGAAAACTCCACAAATATACTTAAATGCCTATAATCGATAACAGAAGCCATTGGTTTATACCAACACCTCCCCGTACTTAAGACTGCTCGTTTTAACCTTTCGCGTGGTTATGTGTGATGTCATGGGCCACGGTCCGATTTTCGATTCCAGGGGCTCGTATGCACGAGTTTGCCGTTGCTTGGAAATCTCCCATGTAAGCTGAAAGCTTAGATAGTATTAAAACATATATCAATATGGTGATTTTCTTTCGTCTTCCAATGATAATGTTATTAAGCTTATCAGTCGATATGAAAGTAATTTGCTTAACATAAATAGATAAAACTTTTCTATATTATTTGATGAAACCTGCATTAATAATATATATATATATATATATATATATATATATATATATATTTATTTATATATATATTTATATATACATATATATACACACACACATATATATATATATACATATTTACACACGCATATATATATATATATGCACACATATATACACACATGTGTGCATGTATTAAGATAATTCTAAAAAAATATCTGATAGTATAATAAATATCGTTTCAAATGTTTTAACTTCGAAAATAGCCACTAGCTTTTGCTAAATGTAATACGTGTCTTTTCATTTACGATAATTAATGGAAATTAATAAGAAAAGCTAGAATTAGTAGGTAATTAAATGACACACATCCTTTATGCATACATGAGAAACTATATATTACTAGGTTTATAAAAAATAAAAATTTACTTAATCAAAGAAATGGTTCTTGAAATATTCTTTGCTGACATTGTCAAAAATTTTCCTTGAATAATGTTTAAATAAACATATAAAATTGATAAATGAAATATGCATATTTATATTTGATATTTAATAATAATTTTTAAAAGAAGCATAGTCTGTTAGTTATTTAAAATTAAGTATAATATTTTCAAATTGAAGTTCAATACGACGTATTCATATACAAAAAAAAAACGTTTTGAAAATTTATGCAAATGTATACAAATTTAACGGCGAAGGAAAAGTACCGAAAAACTTTTTCGACCAATTGACGACATGCGTTGAGTGGATGTCATCAATCGGTGAAAAAGGCACCCCTACCCTACCATATATACATATACATATCCCTCACTGTAGAAGGATTCGCTGTTTGAGCATGAAACCCGAGTCAGGCTACTGGTGCAGGATAATATGTATATTTATAGATATATACTTAAATACCTCTGTTATAGTCCATCGAGCACTGTTTTATCAACGTCAGCACTCCGTGCGATATATATACATGCATACATACATATATGTGTATGCGTGTGTGTTTATGTGTGTGTTATAACGATACATGATTTTGTATAATTTTATGTATCAAAAAACGATGAAACGCGTCCTCAAAATATTTCTAATTTTTAATATTTTCTTTATATATATATATATATATATATATATATATATATATATATATATATATATATTAAAAAACGTTTATTAATATATAATGTAATCACATAGACTGTTATCTGAATTGGATATTGCTATTTGTGTAATTAACTTGTTTAAAGACACTGTACAAATGCTTTGCATATCATAGGTGAGTTTCCGTAGCATTTATTTAATTCCCGTTGGAACTTCGTATAAAAGAAACAATAAAATTGCCATTAAATATCGTAACTGCTTCATTTGTAAATGTAATTTAAAATTGTCAAAACTATAATGGTCATTGATATTTTAAATTATCTGGAAATTAATGTAATATTAAAAAAAAAAAAAAAATGAAAAGCAATTCACTCACTCCAGTTGCTCCCTCGGGGAAAAATCCTGGAGCTGCTGTCCAGTTTTGACTGTTCACATGGAAGAATCCGACGCATATAATGCAGGCTACTACCACCACATTGAAAAGGGTGAAAACACAACTTGTTACAGATGTAACCTGAAATAGAACAAAAATATTTTATTGATCGTTAAAATATCTGTAAATTAAAGAAATGGTCTTAGATTTTCACGTGTTGCGGAATATGTCAATTCATTGTTTCATGAGATAGATGAATGTATTCATTTCAATGATTAGAACAACATTTTATATGTACAAAAATATTTTCTTAGGCAGAGAATCAGATAGAATGTCTTGAAAGATATTTTACAGTCATAAAATTCAAGGTTACAGTAAGCCAAGCAAATATGTCATCAAGAATGAAAGATTTAGCATACAATTCACCGCCATTTTCCATTAGCCTCAGTAGAGATGCCGAATTACTTTAGCAGAACTAAACGCCGCTGTGTTTGTAGAAATATAAAAAAAGCACGTGGCAAATTAATTTTTGGAAAACATTACTCAACTAGATTTTCATTTACTGAAACCGTTGAGAATTTCAATAAAACCAAAATATATTTCTATGAAATTATTCCAATAAAGGACAACAACAGAATTAATAAACAGCAGGAGTCGCTTTCGTATTGAAGGTTTAAATCAGATCATATTTTCTGGTCAGAAAAGGTTTTTCCCCAAGAACCAACTAATTACATTAAGAGGGTAACACTTTTTTCCATTATTGGTAAAATATAGCAGTTGCCCAGTGTAATAAAATTAATTTTGGGAATACTGATTAGATTTTGAGGGTACCATTTGTAAACATTTCTCTAGATTCTCTTCAAATTATTTTAATTCAGATATTAGTTAACATACGTTTAAGCATAAGGATTTGATATGTAACTCGCCATTTACCCATCGTATTTATCCATTATTTTTCGGACAAGTTACTTGAATTTTAAATATGTGTTAATTTTTTCCGAGAAAAAAAATTTTTTAGATTGTCATTCAATTAGCAGCAATTTGTCTAGATATACAGAGTTTATATATTCTCCAGCAATATATATAAAGAAAGAAAACAACAGAACTACAAATAAGTTACTGTAAATATTGATACTATGCTATCTCTGAAAATTGCCATAAAATATCTGGATGGTCAACCAGCTTGTCTCACTGAATCAATTAAGACTGATGAGTGAGTTCGATCATCACTGGGTGCCCCATACTTTGGGCTTTGTGGCACATATAAGCGACACTTAGAGAATTACCATATAAATCACCCGGATAACTTGTTTGAATAATATTATTGTGAAGTTTTCATAATATCTGTTATATATATATGTGTGTGTGTGTGTGTGTATGTATATAATTTAGTTGGATAGATGTGAGTTTGGGTAACCTAAGGGAATGAACTGTTACTTGTGCCATCCGTTTTGGAGGCAATAACATTTCCTTGTTGAAAGCCGACGTGAAGACGCGGAAATTTATGGCTGTCAGCAGGGAGGCGATGGAAGAGGCCATAAATGCCTTAAATATTGGGGCCAGATTGTTGGCCCAAATAACAAATGTCATGATGGACATCTTGCTGGCAACAGAGAAGGTGGCAAAAATATTAGCCGAGGTGTTCTCACTACCAAGACACTCACCTGCAGACAGAATATATAGGCACACGGAAAACACGGATTACCTTACATTAGGTGCCCATGTACATAAATGAGGACCATTCGAGGGCCTTCTTCTTGGACTAGGGTCCCAGTTTTTTGGACTCGCTTTATAGTCTACCAATAGAAGGTTAACCAATCAGAAGACGTAGAATATTCAATCCGTCGTGTATAAAGGCGGCCATTTTTGTTCACTCTACCCGAATGTCCAGTCCAGCTTGTCAGGCGAAGAGAACCAGAAGGAAGAACTATGCTCTGCTACTTTTATCGAAATATCCACTGCTAACCTGAACAACGCTTTCCTACTGTCTTCGAAATATTCACTGCTAACCTCTGGATTCTATAGTCGAAGACGACCGTCATCATGAATAACACCTTGGAGTGGGTATCCTCCATCAGAAGGTGGGATTTGCCATCAGTGAATTTGAAATCATGGTGAGATTGATCCGACCTAAGTTTAACGAGATTCCCAATGTCATCATCTGCGGCGGATGAAATATCTTTGTTGTCATCGAGGGCCACCGCCCCACTGCTGGGCTTGTGGTGCCACCGGTCACCTGGCAAAGTTGTGTCCAACGAGGAATCCGGCGACACAGACTCAATCAACACCAGCACAGTCTAGGATAGAAGCACAAAAGAAGGCACCCAGTGGTCCTGGAGAATTGACTGAAGTGTTGAGGAGGGGAGTCAAACCGACAACTTCGCCTCTCTAGCAGAATGTATGATGAAAAGTAGCTGCTAAGCAGCCAAAGCAGCAGCAATAACAACAACAATTGCAGTAGCAGCCTAAGCCACAGTGTAAACAGCAGCAGCGATAGCGAGAGCAGTAGCAGCAGCAGTAGCGATAACACCTGCAGTAGCGGGATCCAGACAAGCAGAAACAACAAAATCAGCAGCAGTCGGAACAACGCAAGTCGCAACATGAGAACCAGAGCTGGAGCTCCATCAGCAGCAGCAATCGGAACAGTAGCAGCAGCAGGAAGTGGTAGAGTTGACGCAGGTAGACCTCTACATGGAGTTAGAGGAAATTCCTTCACCAAGATCCTCTTCATTGAAAAGCGAGAGAGACGAAGATGAAGAAGAAAACACCAAGTATACGAAAAGGGAGAGGAAAGCTGGTCGAAGTAGGGCAAAGAAGGCTAAACAAGATGCGCAGGGAAGAGATCTGTCGAGGTTCCGATCGATACATTCTCGAGGGCAATACCCCGGATGGGCTTATGTTGAGGTCGACCAAAGCCATGTGTGAGGCGTTTCGGTGGCATTTTGAGAGCCCGTTTACCAAGAAGCCTGGTCTCAGTGGCGAAAGTTTCGCAGCTATATGGCTGACTGAAGCGGCTAGCTGCGAGGGAGAGATCACATGGAACGAAAATCACTTGGTATTGAAAAGGTTGGCTGGGGCAAGTCTCCGGGACTTTATGGTCTACTCTACAAACCGTACTTGAGGCTGTCGGATTCAAACCCGACTTCTGCAGGTGGATCAGCCTCCTTTATCTCTCCGTCAGGGCTCTGGTACATGTGAACGGAGAGGGCTCGAACACTTTTCCGTTCGTTAGGGTTGTCCGCTGTGGCCATTACTTTTAGCTTTGGAGTTGGAGCCCCTCTTTCGCTGGCTAAGGGACAAGGCGTGCAGTCTTGTCCTACGTGGAATCTCTGTCTCTGGTGGTCGAGCCAGGTTTCGTTTACGCTGATGATGCATCTATTTTCGTGTCGTGCCGTAGCGACATTGAGGTAGTGCAGAAGGCGCTTGAGCGGTACGAGAAGGTGACGGGGCCAGAATTAACTGCTACAAGTCATACAGCTTGCGGTTAGAAGCTTGGAAGGATTCGCGCTTCCGGGGCCCTTTAGTTGGACACGCGGACCCGACCGCATTCTTGGAGTTTGGTTTGGGCCTGGTCTCCAGCTGAAGAAGAACTGGTCCGAATTACAGTCAAAGATAGAAGCGGCGGTCCTAACTTGGCTTCGACGGTGGTTGTCCATAATGTTGACTTCCATCTTGGAGGGTGGTCGCTGGCGTCTACTTTGCAGAGAGAGATTTTGCCTAACGTCCGTGTCCTGGGAATGCCGCCATGCTTCAGGGTTGGTGTTTCTACGCCGTGCGTTACCGAAAGACTCTATTTTGGAAGGGTGTGTTAGGGACGCCTTTCCTAGCATTACTACCACTCTTTCCGTTTCCGAGGCTGAGCGCCATCGTAAGCCCCGGAATCAATTGTGATTCCTGCGAGAGTTTGTGGCTTATGTCCATCGATCTTGCGTACGCGGGTGATATTGTGTCTCCACGTTCTCCAGGGTGAAACTGATGGTGTTTCTCACGTTGCTAGTCGTAGGAAGAATGGTGGTATGGACGTCATGAATGGCGGGTATCTTGCGATATGAACGTTATTCTCATCAGGATCTGGTTTGATTCTTTGGGCATGAACTCAGGATGAAGATCAGATCGAATAGAAAGCGTTTGATATCTACAGATTTCAGCGAAAGGTTGGTATCTGTGGCGAGTATGGTTCGTGGGAATTGGACCAACCTTGATTTTCTCTTTTAAGCCCCCTTAAGTACAAACGGGCGGATTCCTGTGAATTCTCCCCTGGTTAAGTTAGACGTTTCTTCTTTGGCTAGTTAATGTGAATAAGTGTTGTTCCTGGCCTGCTTCTGGCGCTCTCTTTTGTTATTATCCATGTTGAGATTCCCAACCTCCCCAGTTTGTTTTTGTCCCTCTTTTTCCGTCTCTGCTGGGTCAACATTTGATTTCCCCATTCCCTCATTTATTTTTTTTATCATTCTCACTCCATTAGTGAGTGTGCTTCTCGATTCTGTCAGTAGGCAGAATACAAGGTTCACTCATTATTTTGAGGGGTGGACGGGTCCTACTAACATCTGTTTTGTTTTAGTTTGAATATTTTATTGCATTTTTTGTTTCGTTTTTGGGTTCACCCTCCCTATCATATCATGCATCATGGGAATTTTTATATATTTCTGTTAAAAAAGAAACCCAAAAGAGAATTTTAAACATTTTTATCTCATTGACTGAATATGTGGTATTTTGGTATATACAGGATTGAGAGGTAATGGACGAGTTCTCGTGGTGATTGAATGAATTGTAATGAATGAATGGGCCGTGATTGTGATTAACTAGGACTAGGATAGTGTAGACCAACCTTTTCCCACTTCCCCTTCGGCAATTTGCTACAATTTCTTATATAATTTCAAAACATATAATATATCAGTTCGATTGGACATGCCTATTGCAATGGATGAAAGTTTGTTCAACTTTCCATCATTTTTCTATCAGGAGTAATAGCCATGACTGAAGTTCCTTTGCAGTGAAATTTAAAGCTTTGTGCTATTTTCTTTAGGTTTTATATGAGTAATACTTTAAAACATTTTTTCAAAGATACATCGTCGACCACTATTACAAGAATATGTGTTTAAAGCAAAGCTGTTTTTGTGAGTACACTGATCAATGTAAAC